TACCTTCATCTAAACATTCTCACAGTCCAGGTGTTGTAGCAGGTACCAATGTTCAGAAAACCTTCATCTAAACATTCTCATACACAGTCCAGGTGTTGTAGCAGGTACCAATGTTCAGCATACCTTCATCTAAACATTCTCATACACAGTCCAGGTGTTGTAGCAGGTACCAATGTTCAGCATACCTTCATCTAAACATTCTCATACACAGTCCAGGTGTTGTAGCAGGTACCAATGTTCAGAAAACCTTCATCTAAACATTCTCATACACAGTCCAGGTGTTGTAGCAGGTACAAATGTTCAGCAAACCTTCATCCAAACATTCTCATACACAATCCAGGTGTTGTAGCAGGTACAAAGGTTCAGCATACCTTCATCTAAACATTCTCATACACAGTCCAGGTGTTGTAGCAGGTACCAAGGTTCAGCATACCTTCATCTAAACATTCTCACAGTCCAGGTGTTGTAGCAGGTACAAATGTTCAGCAAACCTTCATCCAAATATTCTCATACACAATCCAGGTGTTGTAGCAGGTACAAAGGTTCAGCATACCTTCATCTAAACATTCTCATACACAGTCCAGGTGTTCTAGCAGGTACAAAGGTTCAGCATACCTTCATCTAAACATTCTCATACAGTCCAGGTGTTGTAGCAGGTACCAATGTTCAGAAAACCTTCATCTAAACATTCTCATACACAGTCCAGGTGTTGTAGCAGGTACAAATGTTCAGCAAACCTTCATCCAAATATTCTCATACACAATCCAGGTGTTGTAGCAGGTACAAAGGTTCAGCATACCTTCATCTAAACATTCTCACACACAGTCCGGGTGTTGTAGCAGGTACCAATGTTCAGCAAACATTCTCATACACAGTTCAGGTATCAATGTTTAATATACCTTGATCTAAATAATTTTACTTCTTCTTTCGTTCGCCTGAAATAAGTTATCTGTATCAGAAATTTTGTCTCTTGGATAAATTTCACTGTTGTTAATTCATTCAGAGGTCCATAGAGTTTACATTCCACTGTTGTTCTTTCTGGCCAAAAGGTTTGCCTTAATGTGTCAAATTCAGTGCAGTCCTGGAGTACATGCTCTGCTGTCTGGGGCACCTTTCCACAGGTGCACATGGCTGATACACCTATCTTGAATTTTGTGTACATATGGTTATGTAATCAGTTGTGCCCTGTTCTGAGGCGGAGGATAATGACTTATTCTGATCTGTCCATAATAAAATAGTCGCCTTGTGCTGGGGCTGGTGGTTTCCTGATTGATTTAATGATTCTTTTCTTTTGGTGGTATGTGACTGGTACATCTGGCTGCACCTTTGTCGCACCTTCTCCTGCCAGTTGATCTGCTTTCTCATTTCCAGGCACTCCACAATATGATGGTATCCACTGCATTACAACTCTTTGATAAAGTTGTGTCAGCAGTGTTTGCAATTCTGGTAGTTTCCTAGACTGGAGTGCTTCAAGAACTGATTTTGCATCTGTCAGCATTACCACATACTGGGAGCCACGATTGGTATTTAGCAGTTTCTCTGTTGCTATCTTGATAGCCTGAGTTTCTGCATCATAGTTATGGCAGTACTTTCCGGTTACTACGCTGGACTTATCCCTAGTAACATCTGGGAAATCTATGTACACTCCAGCACCACCATTTCTAACTGCACTTTCTGCGGACCCATCTGTGTAGACTCTGACCCATTGTTCTTGTGGGTATTCTTCATCAATATAACTGAGGGTGGCCATTCTGCATTGTACACTATCTTGTTAAATATTCCTTTCACATTTGTCAGGATTTGTACTGTTAGTTGGCATTTCTCTCCATGGGGTTTGTTAAGTGGACAACCAGTTTCTGGAAGGTCAGCAGTTTGTCTACATATTCTTTTTGCTTGATACATTTTTACTATTGTTACTTTCATTCATAAGAAAGAGAACACTGTTCTTTGGCCACATAATGAGAAAAGAGACATTGGAGAACATTGTGACAACCGGAAAGATCAGTGGAAAAAGGGATAGAGGCAGACCAAGAGAGCTGTTCCAGGCAATCAGGGATCGTGATCTGTGGAGACGCATGAGCGCCTACACCAGTTGACAGGGCACATAATGATGATGACTTTCATTCTGTTTGTTTTATGTATCATTAGCATTTATTTATCCATCCTATTATATACTCTCACTATTACTACTTTCACTCCATTTTATTTTATCCATGTCACATCACCTTTTTCTCTTGCTATATTTCACGGGACCCCTTGGTGGGCACTGGTATTTGCAGTACCTCGTCCTTTGTTACGGTTGTGTAGTTCATGCCGAAAAAAAAGACTGGCTAAAAGGTACATTTTCCCCCTTCCCCAAGTTTTTTTTTAAGTCACATTTCATTGGACCAATTTCTCACACGACCAAAAAATGATTACCTTTCTGATAAGTTTTTTTTTTCGAGTCAGTCTCTTTAAAAACATAGGGGTTGCTGTTTTTGTTTGTCCAAGGAATTCTTCTTTAAAACCACATTTCTGAAGCCTAATGAAATTGTGGGACTTTACTTTTCACTGCCTAGGATTTACAGCAATAAGTAAAGACTAGCCCCAAATAGCTAAGGATGTTGCAATTCTTTTTTCTAACCACCAATGACATGCACGCTGTGCAAAATTTTCATTTTACAAAACCCAATCTTAGCCAGCCCTGTTCTATTTATCTTGGTGATAGATCCTCCATGTGCTTGCTTACTTACTAAAATTTCTGTACTTGTCCTAAAAAATGTGCTTTGACTCTAATAAAACATTCAGGTACTATTTCCTGTGATTCTACCACTGCTTCTGTCTTCACATTATCTAAGCTGGGGCTCAGTGCACTGAGTTGAATTGATTCAAGAACCGACAGCATTCGGGGCATTCCCATAAGCACTCCGTCCCCATCTTCAGCAGCCAGTGCCGAGTTCAGATACTAATGGTGCCAGTAGCATTCTGAATAAACGTCTGTCTTGCATTTCCTCTGAGCCTTGAGCATCTGTCAGAACCCCTGGCCACATCCCGCTGCATCAATCTCACCAGACTGTGGTGATCCATCTGCTCCTCCAAACTACACTCTCTCCCACAAGGCACTAACCACGTCTGCCTTCTCTTGTTTCAGTCAGTATTCCACCAAGCTGTGCAGAGCCAGCCAGTCTTTCTGCCTGCTCATTTCCCAACACACCAGCATACCCAGAAAGAAATCCAGACCACTCCTCACCCGTCCTCTGCAATGAAGCATGCCTGTCCTGACCTTCCCTAACACGCTCCTCGAGTCAACCACAAACACTGTACTAAAATTCAGAGACAAACTGCAGAATTCTCATTTGAAAGTGCTGTTATTTTCTAGATATCTGTGCCAACTTTGTAGATTATCCGTTTTTGCGATTTACACATTTTAGATGACATATATTTGGTCTTATTCAAACGCTTATTCATTGTTATGAGTGCATCACCATGAACTCTTACATGGAGAAGAAGAATTGATCATAAGAACAATTTCTTTGGTACCCCTTATTAGATCTTCACTGTTTATCACAGCCTAGTTGTAAACCAGAAAACAAATGGCCAACTGCCTTTTCAGGAGCGTTCACAGAAAAAGCAGCAGCAAGTTACATGTTCATAAACATCAATCACACCATTCATTGGACTGATCCAACAGAAACAAACAATTTATGATGAAAAAACAAACACAGACATAAAGATGTTGACGCTGATCAAATAAATGCAGAGTAATCGGAGTTTATTTATCATCTACAAGACGTTTCAAATAACAACAATGAATTCAAAATGTTACGGGAAAGGAAAAATTCTATCTGGAGTGCGTTATGAAAGGTAAATGGAAATGAAGTGAACTTTAAAAGGGGAAGGGAGAATGACTGACCCTATTTACTTTTCACAGAATTTACTCAACTAGGGAAGTTCAACTGTTGTTGTACTCGTCTTACATTTTATAAATGGGATTTCAAGTCACGAAAAAACTACATAGATGAAAATGGGAGATCAACTACTAACACTTAAAGAAGAAAAAATAATGTATCTCATGCGCTACACACTGAATTAGAAAATTATTGTAGCATCGCAAAAGCTACCCGAAAGCATAGAAGAAAAGCAAAGACCGGAAGAGCCCCGGCACCACAGCGGGGCAATCTTGTACAAGCTCCATGGCCCATAATAAGCCGTAAGTTTCAATTCAAAATGGTTGACAGCTATCATGCAATGGTCCCAACAACAATGTACAACCCTGGAAACAAGAATGAGAAAAAAATATAGTGAAATACAATACAGTTTTATTGGTGATCACAACTTTTGGGTAGTCGGGGGATATCTGTGTGCTCACACCACGCACACACCATGTGTGACCTTAAATCCACTCTCAGTCACACACACACACACACACCAGATTTGTAACAACCAGCTTGGTATGTAGACTGGCATTTTTGCAAACACAAAAATTTATGCCTGATATGATGACCACTATAATTCTAAAATGTCCTAATAACACAGAAGTTTATGTATAAACCATCTCCAATTTAGCTCACACAAAAAAAAATGAACTGTAATTCCTAAAATAAATAAATAAATGAAGCACATTATGAGCCTCGATTAGAAAATCCACCATTAATAATAATAATAGTTTAAAAAAAAAAAAAAATCAAATCCAGCCAAATATTAAAAACTACATTTGATCACTGCTAGGATAAACATCCGTTTTTAATGTATAAATATCAGCAGACAGATATTAAAGAGTTAAGTTCAAAACTGCACATCATTCACACTTGGACAACAAAAAGGGCCACAGATCATTAAAATGATTGATGGTAGGAGAAGTCGTCCACTTCCCGTGCAGTCATCACCCAGGCTGCTGCAAACAAGTCCATACCACCAGTTGGGGAGCAGCTGTTTAGAGTTTGTTTGTTTGTTCATACAGATGTGCAGTGAGTGGCAGAAAAACAATGAACATGAGAGGAGCTATCATACAAACAACAAAGTTACTTGGATGTCATCATCGTCACAAATTCTGAAACGAGAAATAAGAAATCTTGTGTGAGAACAATAGTAACAGAGCACAGCAGTTATAACAAATATGGAAATCTTCCACAAATATGTTGTAAGTTTTGTCAGCTCTGTGGTTAAGTCGATGTGAATGCTTCGTAATGCCGGGGTTGATCCCAGCTGCAGGCTATGCGCCTTGCGTTGGTTTCGACAGTGGTATCAGGGAGCCGACCATTCAGAAGCAATGGCAAAATACTGGATGTAAATTAGCCTAGAAAAACCACACAACAGCTAGGGGCTGCTGGGGTTGGTTCTGCAACGTCCTGTAAAGGATACGCAAGTAACCTTTGTCAGTTATATGACTATGTCCTGATTCCGTCCTACGACCCAATAGCAAACTTTTAGATCCATCAAATGTCTTTCTGCATGAAAGGCAAAGCTAGAAAATCTGATCATCCAATGTCACTATGTGGGACAAACAAGGCTCAATTGGCCGTCATCACTTGTCACTGTCAGGACCAAACTGAGGACCTGTGGCACATGCATAAAAAAAAACATTAGTGTCTGTTGCCAAAACAAAAATTCATCAGGCCCCCGTGTGGGTTCCGGGGCCCTATTGTGGGGAAAACAAGAATAGACCCACTGCCTCCCCAAAAGCATGTCGTAAGAGTCGACTAACTGGGGAGCTTCCTTTGAAGTCGGAGTGCATCTGCATGAGAGGCAAGGAACCAGCAGTCTACATTCAATTGAATCAGATCTGTCAAACTGATGCACACGCAACACTCAGGTTCTGGAGCAGGACTGCAGCCCAGAAGTGGACGAACAACCAGAACTTTACGCCAGAGTGTACAGCTGGTGAACGCAAAGAAGAATAAATTTATCAGGGTTTATATTCAAGAAAAAGAAGGCGAACTTGAACTTTATTTTCAACTGCCTGCATCTTGCAACTGCACGGTCTTTTTACAGCAAGGCTGTGAGTGACATGTATGCCTTTTGACCCACACACCCAACTTCAATGAGCATTTGCTGACCGGATTACCTTCCCGGGACAGTTTCAAGGGACTGACAGTCTTATTTGCATGGCGTTTTTTTGTTGCTCCCTTGGCTACAGTCATTTGACTGTTCAGCTCTCAAGGAAAGGCAGAGGCGCATCACGGTCATCCAAGGAGGCTTGCATAAAATGCAAAGATGATATATGACGCTCTAGTCCTGGGCTCAGGCAAGAAATCCTCACAACCTGCACATGACTGCTTAACCTCACACCAGTGTGTTGAGCCTGCCCCTTTCGGAGATCAGTCTTCAAACCCGTGACGCTGATGTTGATACAAATACACCGAGTCTATGACTTTATGGAAAGCATGCATCAGACATGGCTTCCCCCTTTTTAGTCTCGGCACTCTAGAGAGTGTGACCATTGGTAAAGGACTCTGAACCTACTGCCAAGCAGCAGGACTCTTGATGGACATTAAAGACTTTGCTGTTATGCCATAGGCCATTGTCTGACAGAAATATGAGTCTAAAGAGCTGACTGACAGTGACCGGCTGCGGTCGTGTACCTTGCCACAGTGACAATGAGGGTCGATAAGGGATACATAGAGACAGACTGAGAAACAGTCAGCAAAGATATTGCTCATTTGAGCTGCTAGTAAATCTCTTGGTCTCGGTCAGCAGCTCTTGACAGATGTTTAACCCAGGGTTGTCATTTGATGGCATATTTAGTTAGCGGGTTTTACCACCCATGCATGCGGTTGAGCTGATGAGGGCCAGACTGGACACTACAGCTGGCTCGGTTCAGGTCACAAAGGTGAACCATTATCTGTAGCGCACAGCGAGGACATGAGACATACATGAGGATCTGTAAAACCAGTACACAGCATGCTGGCCCCCAAGATGAGGCACTGAGTGGATACTTAGACACATCAAAATGGCTTTTTTCCTCTTGTCTGTGACCGAAGTCACAGCGTCACGGACGGAATTCTTCTTCTTCTTCTTCGCGTTCACGAGCTGTACACTCTGGAGGAAAGTTCTGGTTGCTCGTCCACTACTGAACTGCAGTCCTGCACCAGAACCTTAGTGTTGCGTGTGCATCAGTTTTACAGATTTTGTTCTCTTGAATACAGACTGTTGGTTCCTTGCCTCTCCAGCAGATGAACTCCGACTTCAAAAAAAGCTCCCCAATTAGTCGACTCTTACGACATGCTTTTGGGGAGGCAGTGGGTCTATTCTTGTTTTCCCCACAATGGGGCCCCGGAACCCACACGGGGGACGGATGGAATTGATTTAGAGGAAGTAAGGGAAAAATTAATTGCACATATTGACCATTCAGGGGCATAACTACATGCAATGCTTAAACCTTACACACACACACAAAAAGAGAAGCTAGTGACAGCCGTTCCATTCAAAAAATAAACAGTAGAAAGAATTGTTTAAAACTCAGGAATCTTCATTATCAAGTGCATTGCCGACTGGCATGGGCTATTATGCTTCTCCACCACCTGCAATTGTTAACAACCGCATGCATTAGCTCATGTGCTGACCCCCTCCATACTGTAACAAAAAGCTATTAAAAGTCATTTCACACTGCCGTCCTCTGACTCTTCTCCCACAAATTTTTCCTGTGATCCGGTTTCCTTCTTCTCATAACACGATGATTGTCTTCAAGTTCTCGCCTCTTTCAAAACAACTGGGATGCTTTTTTTTGGCTGCCCAAAAAACGCTAAACACTCTTGTAAAAACTGCCTAGGAATACATTGACACAATCATAAGAAACCACAAAACAAGGAAATTACCTTCATAATTAACCTGACCATCACCATCAATATCAGCTTCCCTGATCATCTCGTCGACCTCTTCATCTGTCAACTTTTCACCCAAGTTTGTCATCACATGTCGCAGCTCAGCAGCACTAATAAACCCATTGCCGTCCTTATCAAACACACGGAATGCTTCACGGATTTCCTCCTCACTGTCGGTATCTTTCATTTTTCTAGCCATCATGGTAAGGAATTCTGGAAAGTCTATTGTGCCATTGCCTGTAGGAGTACGACCAACAACAGAATGTTATCAGAAACAAAACAGGAATTACAGGAAACACAACAAAAATATGAACAAGCACACTTTATAGAATAGAATAGCAACTAAAGTAGTGACTGGTTATGGTTCCCCAAAACAACAAAAAAGTATGTATGCCCCTTAAAGGGCGCTCCAGAATCAATCACCAGCATTTTTTTTTTTGCTGTTGTGTTTTTCTTCTAGACAAATTTACGTTCAGTAGTTTGCCATTCTACTGAACAGTAGGCTCTCAATACCAGTGTTGAAATCAACACAAGGCGGCCTGCTGTCAAATCGACTACAGCTAGCATATTAATAAAAACATTTGAAATAAAAAAGCACAGGGCTCTGCTAATGCGTTTCTACATATTCTAATGTGACATTTAACAGCACAGAATCAGTCAAGTGCCACGCTAGATCTATTGTCTTTTCTCACAACCCATAGTGCTCGTTCCTGTGAATATGAGATCTTGTAGAAGGTCTGCATACATGTGATCATATACACCTTCGCCCATGTACAAGTTTCATCCAGGTACTAGTTGCACCTGGCATCATATTTATATTAAAATTAACAAGTGATATTCTATAACTGTGATTTTTAAACTACTAACCAACCAAGGTTCAAGAATCTCGACTAACTGCGAGCTCAAACATTAGCACAAATGACTGGCTTACAAAGACTGACAGTTTAATGTTTGTGAAATCACCTTCAATACCCTTACAGTGTTCTGGATATGACATGTAGGTGTGTGTGCTTCTCTCTCAACTAAATATTTCACTTCAGTGCCCAAAACTCTTCATTGCTGGTGTTTCCCGTTTTCATGGGACACTATGATCCATGCTGTCTCCACTGTAAACACTAAGGGCAAACAATGGGGAAATGACACAGCTCAGATAAGAAATATGAGGAGTCCAAACTAAACAGCATCACAAGCTATCTGTGGTAAGACACACCCATGTGTTGCCCCCTACCTTCCCTTGGGAGCCAAATGACATGCACATTTCTGCTCTGGGCAGACCAGGCTAGTTCAAATGTATAGGCTCCTAGTGTGGGTTCCACGGCCCCCTTGTGGAGAAAACACTGCCTCCCCAACAAGCATATGTCGACTAATTGGGGGTTTCCTTCAAAGTCGGAGTGCACCTGCCTGAGAGGCAAGGAACCAACAGTCTGCACCTAAAAAAATCATATCTTTTACAACGGATGTGCATTCACAACTTAGGTTCTGGAACAAGTCCAGAGGTGGTTGAACAACCAGAACTTTCTGCCAGTGTATGCAAAGAAGGCAAAAAGGACACCAAAGGTGACACAGTAAAACTATAAACTGTCATTCGGAAAAACAGGAAAGCTTGGGGAAAAGCAAACACAACCCACTGTTCTACGTGCGATTAACCAAATTACATGCAATTTCTGGTGGGATAGAGCATATACCCATGGCTCCTTAATAAGCATGTCCGCAAAGGGTCTTGCTTAAATCAGATGTGTTGGGCTGACACACACAAAAATCAACCTGAGATATAACAGTCTAGGGGAGTCGCTGTGGTGTAGTGAATAAATGCTTGCCTGTGGACCAGAAAGTCGTGGGTTCAGGCCCTGGTGGAACCTGGCTTCCAGGTTGACTTAGCCTTGAGTGGGTACCAGGTGCAGCCCTGGGATGTTGACCACATCGCCACCAAGTAAAGATTAGTCTATAGAATATAGGTCTAGTCCTATATGCCTGAAGGTTGGAAAAGGGTCCTTCACTTTACTTATAGCAGTATAGATGTTACCACAACATAACATGCTAACCACCCTTTTAAAGGTCAATATAGAAACAGACGCAACCATGACATGATTAGCTTACTACCTTATGTGGGTTCCAGAGCCCCATAGTGGGGAAAACACAAACAGACCCACTGTCCCCCCCCCCCCTCCAAGCACGTCGTAAGAGTTGACTAACTGGGTGCTTTCTTCGAAGTCGGAGTATGTGCCTGAGAGGCAAGGAACAATCAACTACACACAAATAAGCCAGTAAAATGGATGTACACGCAAAACTCAGGCCCTGGCACAAAGTCAAAATTGGTGAACAATTAGGACTTTCCGACGGAGCTTACAGCTGGTGAACCAAGAAGATAAGCTCAGAGTTAGGAGGATCATCTGGTGGCTTTGTACTTACGGAGGAAGCACCATGGGAAAGCAAAGGCTGCTCTAGGCCCAGCGAAACAGTCACCAGATAGAGTGGACATCACAATAGGGAGGTTGTGGCAGGCCTAAAACTATCTAGGAACATTATGAATGTGGAAAACACGGAATGTCTGAGAGGGACACACTGAAGCTATGGTGTAAGCTGACAACGCTAATACCCTTATATTTACATTCAGAAGTTACAAGTCTTACTTACTTTATTATGGTTTACAGAAATTTGCATGCCCAGATTTGAAATATGTATACATACCATCTGCATCAACTTCATTGATCATGTCTTGTAACTCAGCTTCTGTTGGGTTCTGCCCCAGTGATCGCATGACAGTGCCCAGCTCTTTTGTAGTAATTGTTCCGTCACCATCTTTATCAAAAAGACTGAATGCCTCTTTGAACTCTGAAAAGGAAAACGAAGATGCAATTTAAAGACATAATTTAACATCATACCTTCTCAGATATTATTGATGTCTTTTATTTCTTTTCATACACCCTGCCAGTGGTTTTCACATGTAAAGGTCTCTATAAAGTTTGTTGTGAGATGCACCTGTTCTACTGTTCCATCTGAATGCCAACAAGCCAAACATGGGATCTCTATATCATGTCTGTAGCACACGTTCAGTCTTCTGTGGTGCCTGTCCACAAGGGTAAACTTCTGAATCCTTGAATTTCTTGTATGTTTGGCTGCAGTCTGTTGTGCCCAGTAGGCAATCTCAATATAATAATCTGCTTCTTACATTTGAGTAGGCTGATTGGGATTTCAGGATTGCTTCCTGAATGGCAGGTGTTCTAATGGCTGCCTTGATTCAAGTTTTATTTTTCTCACAACTGCATCCTATATCTGGTCGTTCTGTATGGCTATGTGAGTAAACATACAGTATTATGACCACCACACATTTCTTCCAACATTGCAGCTGGGACAAAATAAAGTAGGCGGAGGACACCTCTGTGTAGATACAAAATAAATATGTTTGTAGGACAGCCTGATACATAAAAGGCTAAAATTTGATTTGCAAAAGGGTGAAAATTGGCTTTCTAATCCTGAAGTCGACTCAGAAGTGTTTCCTTCAAATTCAGAGTGCATCTGCACGAGAGACAAAGAACCAACAGCCTGCATATAGAGAAGCCAAATCTGTAAAACAGATGTGCGGATAAAACTCAAGTTCAGAAGTAGACAGACAAGCAGAACTTTCAACTGGAGTTTACAGCTGGTGAATTCTTATCAAGAAGAGATTTATTGGTGCCCTTAAAGTTTTAGTTTCCCGTTTGATCTATAGGAAGGAGGAGACCAATCACAGTCAGGAGCAGTCTTCACAATAAAGGTTGGCTGCAATAGATCTTCGGCATGCTAGTTCTGTCACCCTGGATGTACTTGCCCAGCTCTTGTTGGTGCTATCCCCCTATTTGTAATGCTGTCTGCCTCTTGCTCACTCACATTCAACATTTCCACCTAGGAGTTTTTATAGTGTTATATCTTAATATAACCAAGATATTTCACTTCTCTCCTTTCCCCCGTGTGGGTTCCGGGGCCCTATTGTGAGGAAAACAAGAATAGACCCACTGCCTCCCCAAAAGCATGTCGTAAGAGTCGACTACCTGGGGAGCTTCCTTTGAAGTCGGAGTGCATCTGCCTGAGAGGCAAGGAACCAGCAGTCTACATTCAATTGAATCAGATCTGTAAAACTGATGCACACGCAAAACTCAGGTTCTGGAGCAGGGCTACAGTCCAAAAGTGGACGAACAACCAGAACTTTACGCCAGAGTGTACAGCTGGTGAACGCGAAGAAGAAGAAGAAGACTTCTCTCCTTTTATTACCGCTAGCAACATTTTTCATTCTAGTCTCTTCAAAACCTTGTACTTGCTTTTGCTGCATTAAAATACATATACATATTCTTCTGTAGATCCACATTTCCAGAGAGACCTATTCTAAATGACTGCTCACTGTCCAGCCACACCATACATAAGGGTCGAGTATGGACAACATTCACCTACTCTCACTTTTAATGTGCTGTTTAATCTAGATCAATTTTTTAAACATGTGGTTGAAATTAATCCGGCCATTCCAATGTTCCCCTTACACTGCTATCCTGTTATTGTGTGTCCATACAGTTCATTTCTATGTTATGCCCCACACCCCCCAAACACTCCCCCTCTAAACAATATGGTGAACCCCCCCCCCCCCCCCCCCCAAGAAAACTCCTTCTAAAAAAAAATGGTGACCCCCCCCCCCCCCCCCTCCCCCCCCCCCCCCCCCCCCCCCCCCCCCCCCCCCCTAAAAAAATGGTGACTATTCCCAACATATTCATGGGTGGTTTGCACAAACCTCTGAGGCAAAGATGTGGAGGTCCAATGTGTCTGGCTATACTTCTTCCCTTTATTCCACGATGGAGAACAGGCCCTAAACTCATGCCAGACTTTCCTATTATCTGCCACATTGTACTACTTTCCCCATATGCCCCACCTATCTTATCCGTGTATCATGTTCTTTTATTTCTCTGGTCCTGTAGGCTCTAGTTGCATAATTATCAGATTTTCCCAGCAATTGTCCTTTTTAGCACCAGCATCATTCACACTGATTCATGTTGTTTACTTTGCACCAAAACTGCATCAGTGAGATTGACATTTAATTCCTCGTATCTGGTGCAGGAATCAGGGAATGCTTGCAGTTGATAAGAGACAAGGGACAGTCCCCCCCCCCCCCCACCCCCCCCCCCCCCCACCCCCCCCCCCACCCCCCCCCCCCCCCCCCCCCCCCCCCCCCCCCCCCCCCAAAAAAAATGGACACAAGGAAATGAGAGGCTACCAAACAGTTGGGCTTGAGATAGAAGGTTAGACTACCAATGTAATGAAATAGTATGCAGGGACACCCACAACAGCTGTAATACATTCATAAAATGATAACCGATCACTTCCATATTTAGTCCTGGAGTCATTATAAATGTTAGAAGCGCATTTCAGGTCTACAATATGTACAGCCCTATTGATTTTCCCTTTAATGCTGCACAGTTGACAACTGTCACATGTAATAATATCTTTATATAATGTATGCCTGGCAACATGTTACAATCATAGCTGATGCAGTTTACAGATGTGTCTGTTGTATTTCATTAGCATCATTACAGAACAGTATATACCTGTCCTGCCGCAAACCAGTAGTGACTCATTTCATTCAACAGACTTTCTAATGCAGAATTGCTCAGCTGCACATGATGGTAATGAATATAACGACATGGCATAAGATGGTTTAGGACAGGGCTAGTTATCTGATGGTCCGCGAGTCGTATCCAGGGTAGAGAGGCCCACGGAATATTACCCCCCTGTACTGTAGTAATGATTTTCCTATGTGGGGCCTCAGGCAATCACAAATGTCAACAATTTGACAAACCAATAGTGACTCATTTAACTTGTCAACATACTTTCTAACTTAGATGGGCTGAGCTGCATATAACGGTAAGGAATATGATGACTGGGTATAAGATAGTTTAGGGGAGGGGTGGCCAACATTTTTTGGTCCCTTGGCTAAATTCAGAAATACCAACCTGGTCACGGACCACACACACACACACACACAATGTCGCATTATAAACATATTTCCCAGACTTCCTTGCGACTGAGTTTGTACTCATCATCTGTTTCATTAGAGGACTAATTCTGAGATTTTTTGCATGCATACAAAATGTATGTTTGTCTGTTCTGCTATTTTGTGAGCTTAAGGGTCAGATTATATAGTAATTGTACACCAGCATCAAGGGCCCATTAAATATTGCTTGGTGGGCCATAGTTTGCTTTCCCCTGGTTCAGGATGAGCCATGGACCAGACTGACAAACTAAATACCCTATGAGAAGGAAGACATTTGCGAGAATCAACTGAGGACTGTGCATCCACAATGATAGTCAGTCTGCAAGAACGGCAGGTTAAGCGGGGTTTGGGCAAACATAAGAACTATGCAGGAAGCCGAAGAATAAATCAACACAGGACCGGTGTTGCCAGCGGTTAAACTTTGCGGAGGGGACTGTGAGCACTTATGGTCTGGTTCATTGTGCATAGCAGTCAACTTAATAGCCAGGACAGAAAAAGACATGTCTTTTTATTTTATGATGAATGAAGTTTTTAGCCTGCAATAAACACTATTTCTTAAAGTTTCAGCAACCTCATCTTCCACTTTAATGTAACATGACATAACTTGTAAGTCAACTGAAATGCAGGTATGTACAGTTTAAGTAGCAAAATGGGGACTAACAACAGCAGATGAAGCCAGCGTACTTGAAAATTACTGACCACACATCGTCATGCCCTCGAGGGATGCAATTTTTCGTTATTTTGAAGCCCCACACTGGCTCTTGCCAGGGGCCGCAATATAGCCAGGCCATAAATATGGTCTAATGGCCGAGCGCAGTTTCTGGGATCTCTCCACAGGTGATCCTCATCCACATAGTGGCACTTTGTGTCATCAGGTGTTTATCGCTTGTGTGATGTCCTAGTGGGGTAACATGTACCACTACCACTACTAATTATTGACTGCTACTCCCAGAGAGAAATAAGGGCAGGCTCATGAATTCTTAGGCTTAGCTGAACAACTACAATACTGCTGACACCCTTCTGACATTGTTTTCAAATCCTCATCCTACCTTTTAGTTATCATGTGCCATGCTGGGTAATTACCCCCTTCTTCAACACCACTGCTTCACCCAGCCATTTATTTATTTATAATTTTCTAAAGCCATGCCTTTCCCCAGTTACCAAGCTTTTTAGACCTGCTCTCTTCCCAGTGCATCATTTTGGGCGCAGCAAAAAAAGTGTGGGATAACTATGGCAAAGCCTGAGGTCTCAAAACCATAATTAAAAAAACACCAAAAACCAAAAATTTGAATTAGAGATAATGACCGTACCTGCAATCTGTTCCTCTGTAAGCTGGTCAGCCTGGAAATACAAGAAAACAGACATGTTAGTCAACCTGTGCCACATTTGTTACTTTAGGTCTGCATCTCGTGTGAAGTAGACAATACTAGGAAAGACTGCACAAACAGCACACAGGAGATGAGTTAATTCCTATATAAAGGTCACTGTTGGGTCCCAGATACCGGGAGGGGGGGGGGGGGGGGGGGGGGGGGGGGGGGGAGGGGGGGGGGGGGGGGGGGGGTTGGGAGAGAGATATATGCATCAACTTCCATTAAGTGATACTCTATGTCAAATCACTTCCAACACCTGCATCTGTGTAGTTTGACATCTCACATGATAATCTAACCAGAAGAGGGAAACCTTTTTGGGGTCTGCAGGCAAATTTTAGAACTACCAACCTGGTCATGGGGCAAGTTAAAAGAAAAAAGGGAGAAGATATATGCATCAACTTCCATTAAGTGATACTCTATGTCAAATCACTTCCAACACCTGCATCTGTGTAGTTTGACATCTCACATGATAATCTAACCAGAAGAGGGGAAACCTTTTTGGGGCCTGCAGGCAAATTTTAGAACTACCAACCTGGTCATGGGGCAAGTTAAAAGAAAAAAGGCCTTTCCAGGCCTGTTGTGCCCAGCCCAGATCCGAACCTAGGATCAAAATCTATGCGCTTGCTTCCTGATTATGCCACCATGTATGTGACATAGCTATTTAGACATTTGTCCTCTTCGTCTTCCAACTTGCTCTAATCACCATAAAGTTTGCTCCCCTTCCCCCCTCCCAACGCTCAAATTATGCAGACAGCCCTATAACTGATTGCTCGAATCAATTCACAGCTACCATTGTTCTAGGACTGCCTCATGGTGGTGGTGGTGGAGGTGGGGGAATTTACAAGACAAATACAGCAAAGAAAAGAAGGTAAATTGCAATATCCCATACAAAAACTGTTTAAGCAAAATCTACGTAGAACATACTAAGTTTGAGGCTTTCACAACGCAAAGACAAATGTAAAACAGAACAAACAAGAGGGAAAAAGTTTATATAATCATCAACATAGCAACAAGAATATATAAACGTGATTACCAGCCTTGTATGCATAGTTATAAAAGGGCAGGAGTGTGTGTATACAAATATATATATATTTTTTACCCAAGCTTCAACAGTGCCAAAAAGGGAACAAGAATATGTGAAAATATAAACAAGAAAAGGGGAAAAAGCAATATAATACAAATAGCTAACCAGTCAACTTGGCACAGCTGCAGCAACATTAGGAAGAACCTTTGATCTTCAGTTTCATTGCAGAACAAACACTTGGATGAACATTTTATCCTCCAGTTAACTTTTTTCTTTACATGTATTGAGGTTAACGGCCGTGGGTGTATGTTAAACAAGGTGGTCTGTGTTAGGTACTGTAAGAAATGTATAATGCAACACTAAGAGGGTTGTGACTGAAGGGCCTGTGTGGCAGTTACTGCCAGATATGCCAAAAGAGAACGGACCATAGACTGCTTGTGGGTAGACCGGGAAAGCTAACTAAAGACTACAAAATGCTAGAAACAGATTATGCCATGGGCTTGAAACAGCAGTGTAACTTGCTTTTTGACATCCAAGAAGAGAAAACAAATGTTCAGTAAATACTCAGCAATGAAATTATCTACAAGAACTACAGCATGAAAGGGCAACCTGCTTCTACTACCAAAAAGAATTTTAGGTGCTATTATTAATATCCTACCCCAAACAGGGGAAATCCACAGGTCACGAGACAGTAATTTTTTCAGGGGGTGGTAGATAGGCTGCATGCAGTCGTGGTACCTAGGCGGATTGGGGTTAGGGCCAGTTCTAGATGTTCTGGGGTCGTTAAAAGCTGGCAAACACAGTCTTAGAACCCTCTAAAATGTTGGACTGTCATTTGACGTCATCTGGGGTAGGATATTAATAAAGAACCGAATTTTATGCCATCAAACCAAAGAACTAAATGTCTACAACATTTCTCAGACAGGGACACGTTTTTATTTTGTAAATTATTGCAGTCAAAACTTAACTCATGTTCATGTTTACACTACTCAACTTATAAATAGCAGATGCTTCTGTAACATGTTTAAAGTTCAGAAGTCAAGAGAGGTTTCTTTTCCTGAATCAAGTGACTGGAATGAAACCAAATCACAATCTCTTTGGAAACATACAGCCAGGAAACCGTATCAATTGTTCACAATGCTAGAGAGTGGAAGCCATGGTAGCACACTGGCTAGACGCGCTCACCTGCCAGCCTAAGGTCTAAGGTTTAAATCTCCACCTCACAAGTGACCTCAGCTCCCAGCTCTTCCCAGCCTAACATGGGTATCCATATCCAGAGAAGGAAATGTGGCCCTGTGATGTTGATGACATGACCCACAAAGTGTTGACTGGTCTATAAAATATAGGTCTGGCACTATATTACAGCTAGCCCTATATGCCTCAAGTGGGAGAAAGGGATCTTTTATTTTACCGTGACTAATGTATGCATGATGTGCCAAAGAGGGGAAAAAGGTTCTTTACTCCCTAGAGCAGAGCTGTTTAACTGGTAGCCTGCATGTTATTGTCAGGGCTGCCAATAGGACTTTTTTTTTTAAAACCCACCTAAACGAACAAAAACCCAAGCAATACATAAGCAAAGACCCCCCCCCCCCCCCCCCCCCCCCATAAATTTTAAAACCTAGATTGTTACAAAGTACAAATTCTATAGTTACAAAATGAAAAAAAAAAAAAAAAAACATTTACCTACTTTCATATAAAGATATATGTTTTAAAAAAAAAAAGCAGATTTCAAAATTTGAGCCCAAGGAGTCATATAAAACCCCACCTCTGGGGAGAAAAAACCCCAGTTTTGGTAGCCCTGGTTACTACTGTCAATTGTATTAATGATCTTTCTATGCTGGAGTTCTAGACTCTTGCCTGTGATAGTCCCCATTTCAAAATGTTTGGCCCCTGAGTAAACTTAGTTGAACAGCCCAGTCCTAGTGTATGGGAAAGGCCACGATGGCAAGCCCAAATGCAAAGAACTCACAACTACACATACTATTAGTGCTACCGAACAGGCAACACACAAGATGGTACACAGTATCCTCCAGAATATAGGGACAACTTTGCGGTGAAGATAAGAAGGAAATTCCTGTGTTGCACAGGCTGAACACTGCACCTGTGTGAATGTGGAATGCGAAAAACTATTAAATAATTTTCCCAAGCACAAGTTTGTGCTTGTTATAAAACTGCAATAGAAGGCTGACATGATGAGAAATGTCACAGAAGAGAAGCTGTGAGGAGGGGAGTTTGTTGGCCACCCCTGCAACTCTACACACCCAAAGAATGTATTCCACTGAAGTGTTTCTAACGGTTTTCTCAATGTACAGGGAGCCTCTAAGCATTATCAAAAGGTCAACTGGAATATAACTACAGGCCACAGGAATGTAGGATCCTAGGGTTATCAACAATTGTAAGAATGAAAAGGGGCCCTGAAAAGGAAAATGGGTTGGGAGAAGACACAGACTGCTCTGTAGATACATAATCTGTCACAGCTATAACAAAAACTGTCTGGCAAGCTTCAAATATATCTGACAAGGACAGAGTTATACACATGGCTAAACAACGCTGGCAACTTTTTAATGTAGCCTAAGCTGTGAGAAGTTTCAAGTTGTCAAAGGCTTCACACACAAAAACCAGCAGATAACTTCACAGCAACGATGGTTAAATAACCACACTAATATCTATCTAGCTTACTTGAATAAAAAATATGCTGACAGCCATGTGTTACATTTAATTTAATAACTGCATTAAACATAAACCGCAAAGAAAATAAGAGAATAATGATATAAGAAAAAAAAAAAAAAAAAAACATGCAAAAGATAGCTAAGAACAATGTGTGGCATTTAATGTATTATGATGTTTATCCCACAAATTGGGGAAGGGGAAGAGGAGGAAAGAGAATAAAAAATACAGTAAAACCTTGTTAACGTGAACAATATTTTGGTCACAGCAGAGATGCATTATGGATAATACATCTATCAGTCCCAGGTTTACAAGGTTTTACTGTATTAGGCAGGAGGAGAAAAGGTGCAATTTTAAACAGCAATGACAGTCTATGGCACAACATTAACAAACAAATATTAACATTAGAAGAACCTGCATATTTTCCCACTGTGACAACCTATAAATGTGAGTTGTAGACCAGTTTGCAATTATGAAAGAATACCTGAGCTTACAAGATACAAGATGAAATGCTACAGAAAAATGTGTAGAAATACTATGGACTGAACAAAGAAATATTCTACAAGATTTGAGCACATACCAGGGCTGGCTTATATAAAACTGCCCTTTGGCCATAATAAATGCTGTACTGACATAAAGAATAGCCACAGAAAATACAGTTCCTGGAAAAAGAGGCAGGCACTGACTAGCTTGAAGGTAGACAAAGATAAAGGAGACAACTTAGGCATAAGAATGCTGGAGGAAAAAACTGACAAATGACTGCAGCCTTTATGGAAGACGATAAAAGCCGCAACACTTTGCAAAGCAACAGCTAAACTGTGAACTGATGCTGCAGACACAACTGTGTTTCAGGAAGGATCAGCACTTTATATACTAATCTGTAAGAACTGAGCAGTTAATAGTTTGTAGAGAAAAGCAAGCAGTAGTCTTTTATCAAGCTGTATGCAATTTTTTTCTCCGTTAGTAACAAAAATTTTCTCTAGGGAAAAAAAGGTTGATGTGTGTGTGTGGGGGGAAGCTTTGTCTTAGCACAAGCAAGTATGCCAATTCTGGAACTGGAACAAGACCAAAGTCTAGAAGTGGGTGAACAATCAGAAGTTTCTAAAGGGTTTACAGGCCAATGAGGGCCCGGAAGAATACACTGAAGAAGAAAACTTGGCTTCTGTCAATTCTTTGCCAGTGTTGGAGATACATCCAGGTTTAGATGGGTCTCAGTCTCTTGCACGCTGAGACCCAGAGACAGCCAGCAACAATGAGAACACAAGAAAGAGAGAGAGAGAGATAGAGAGAGATAGAGATTTGGGGAGACTTTCATTTTAATATAAATGATAAGCTATCACAAAATGTTTCACTTTCACAGATGTGCAGAAGCACACAACATGGAATGATTTGAAAGAATACCCAATGTGGACCTAATGGAGAAAATCAAAAGGTGAGGAAAAGATGCTTGGTTAAACTGAACGCTTGCTAAGAAATACTACCAACAGTTTAGCAAAAAAGGTATTTCTCTGGAACTCACCGAACAAAACATAAATAAATGCCTAAATACAGGGCAATGACAATTGTCAGATATGAATATTTAGTTACACAAAGGACAGGAGTATATACATATTTACACAAGCTTCAACTGTACCAAGTTAACAAGAATATATGGAAATTGGTATAAAGGTTATGAAGGCAACTGGTTAAAGACAAGTTGCTCGAGTATTGCTGCTTCAATGGGAATATATTTTTCTTCTTTGCTTTCACCAGCTGTAAACTCTGAAAATGTCTGGTTGTTTGTCCACTTCTGGGCTTTGGTCATCCAAGAATGTGCGTTTTAAGTGCGCACCTCAACTTTGAAAGAAATAGTAGACTTTTATTACATGTTTGTCAGCATCCAGGGTGTCCACCCCCTCCCCCCCCCCACTCTTTCCCGCAATGGGACAGAGACCCACACAGAAAAAAATGTTG